AACTTGATTGTAAGACCTTATTGCTGAATACAGCACATATTTTAGAATGATAACTTGGAGAAATAAAGTTGCTGGCTAGCTTTCATAGTGTTGGACAGTGCTTTGCAGGCTGCTGGGGGGCAAGGAAGCCATCAGCAATCTTACCAAGCTGTAAAGCTGTGAGCTACAATAACTGTGCTGGCAAGAGATGGCCACTGGTACAAAAGTGGTATGAATATCTGTTGGGAGACCTCTGTTATGCAAAAGTCGAAGCCCCTTCACACCGGACAGCTCATGCAGCTCGGGAATGTGCCACGGGCTCCTTTTCATAGCAAGGTGCTTTCTGGCATCTTTCCTGTCTATCCCTTTGAAGTGGCCGCCACAAAGGCCCTGACATAAACATTGCCTTTGGCTCTACGCACACCATGCCTTCCTGTGTGATTTTTACAGGTGGCCAGCAGTCTAGCAGTGTGGCAGAAATCCACTTCCACATGAAAATAGAATGTCTCACAGAGCATCTAACAGCCAAAGCTTTTACCACTCTGTCTCTACACTATAAATAGTCCTAGTTTTACCCCAATAAAGTTGGAGCTGGATCACCTCACTTAGACTTGGAGCTGGATCACTTAGACTTGGAGCTGGAGCTGAATCACTGAGATCTGAGCTGAGTCACTTGTCTTGAGCTGTAACGCTAAATCCTGCGATCCAGTCTCCCCGGGGAGCGCTATTCCTCCATTATTGGTCCACGGATACCCCAGCTTTTGCTGCCTCCGTGCCTCTTCCCTGTGGAGTTCACTGGCCAGGAACTCCGCAATCCTGAGGAAAGGTACAAGGGTGTAATAGAGGTGGGATTCCGACTAGATAATACTCTAGTAGCAGAGGAAGCTCTCTGCTCCAGAGAAGTGTGTAGCTATCAGCTACAACCAGCATCAGAGAAGTCTGCGCACCCCGTCTCCAGAGAGGTGCGGCCGCCAGCGGCTAGCCAGCAGGACCAGAACCACGGCAGGAGAGTGCACGCACACCTGACCCTGGGCCACATCCAGAGTGAGTGTGCCCGGGAGCCCAGGCTCGCTCTCCACATCGCTTGCAGCCAGACTCACCCCGGGATTAGCCAGGTGTGGCGGAGACCCCAGGGTGCCCGCACACACCACGTCAGGGGTCCAGCAACCCGCCCCATAAATATCATAGGGGCAACCAACGGCTTTCTAGTTTGAACTTAAAGGTCACCCCACAGGAGAGAACTCATGCCTTGTATTATAAACCTGGCCAAGAACTCATGACTGGGGAGTTTATACTCCCCACTAGTATTATTTTGCTAAAAGGACATAATATCACACTGCCTTTTAAATGCTCATCCTTATACCCATATACCAGTGCAACTCACTGCTTATCAGAGGAGCTTCTTTATGCATAGATAATGATAAATACAGAGATTTACAATTTGTCAAAGTACAGAGAATGAGTGATTGTGGAGTGCTCCCCCATCAACAGGGCATCTATATCACATGCTTTCCCCACAAGATTCAGAGAACAATGCAAAAGAGGGGGTGGGTGGAAAGACTGCAAAAGTGGGAAGATGAGGACAAGTGTTGCAAAATAATGTCCTCTAGGCTTGATAGGGTCACTGCACTCATGAACTCGCACCAGCCGTGCGTGTCTGAACAAGACGTACACAAGACCAAGCCAATCAACATTCAAGCAGGGAGAAGGAAGGGGTTCCCGAGGCCCCCACCCCTAACTGAGGAGCTATTAGCAGTTGATGGCCTCTGAGGAGGGCGAGTCAGTCTTCTTCAGTAGTGCAGCTCATGTGGTTTACCCAAGCACCAGTGGATGGTACCTTTCTCCCATGTGCATATGGGAAGTGCTAAGTGGACTCAGTGTATCAGAAGAAGAAGAGGAGGAGGAGGAGAAGCAGGAAGAGGAGGTGGAAGGAGGAAGAAGAGGATTAAGGAGAAGAAGAAATGAAGTTGGGTGGAGAATGTGTGGGTGGCATCCAGGATGATTTGGAGGGAAGATCAGAGGGTGGATATGATCTAAATACATTACATTCATGTATGAAATTACCCAAGAATACATAAAATGTTTTAATGTTTAGCATTATAATATCAACATGTATGTTTCATCACAGTTGTGTTTTCATTACTCTCTCACGTTAACATGCATTCATTATTCTCACATGCAACTCTCTACTATGCCTCCTGTTCTGAAGGAGAGCCAGTGCTGATGCCATAGGCATTCACCCTCAGGTTCACATTGGACTTTTATAAGCAGCATATAAGAAATTTTCTTCATAAGCTTTTGAGAACTAAGAGATTTTCTTTCTATAGGTCTGATAAAGATGATGTTCTGAATAATGACTAATGACATTCTTACAGCTTTTTATGGAGCCATTAATTACAATTGTCATGCTAGGACTTGGAGAGTAGCTGAGCTATTCTAATACTATGTGAGTTAGAGAGGTGATTTCACGTCTCCGAAACTTCAATATGTTCATTCTTAAAACAAAGATGGTATGTTCTTCCTTGCCTTCCAAAGAAAGGCATAAAGCCACAATTTTTTTAAGCCATGTAAATGTCTAACATATATAGCATCTTTGGGGCTGTGTCAGTTCAGCCAAGAAAGAACTACATGTTTTTGCACTGCTTTTCCCATGTGTTTCCAAATAAGAATTGGCCAAAGGAGACATTGGCTGTGTTCAGTTCAAATAGCAGAGGGTGAAAGCAGTTGTTTTTCTTGCTGAAGCTCAATGTGGGTCACAATGCACTATAGCTCACGTTCTAAGCAATCACTACCCTGACTCCCTGATGGCAAGGCTTAGCACCAATACCAACAGATCCTTTCATTATAGTCTGACATCCTCCTCAGGATTCTCGTGTCCCTGGACCCAATGGCAAAGGCACTAACTTCTAAAAGTAACTGCCCACTGAGGTTAAAGTTGGTGGGAGATATGCATAGGAATCAATTCTTCTCATGAGTTCCACTTTGTCATGAGGAACTCCAGTTTTTCCATGACGATTTTCTCTACTTAGTATTCCTTAATTTTGTCTTCACAACTGCTAACTGGTTGACCTGTATCAACTTCAGGGTCTTCACTATAAGACAAGGGCTTTGCAAAGACCTTTCAGCCTTCTCTCATATCTACACCAGCTCCCAGTGTTTGGTCCCTTATTCAGCCTCTATGCTGTTTGTTCTCATCAAACCCTGACATAATCCTCATCAAAGATCATACAACTCCAGAGAATGCTTCCATTTCCTTTGTAGTTCCATTTTACTTAATTTCACATATTCAGTAAAGTTCACATATTTTTTTAAAACAAACTGTATGCTTGACATATGCAAAATCACTTGCAAACACACATAGCGCAGTGCCTAGGAAAACCCCTTGCACATGGGAATTGATACAATGTTTAAATACACATGTATGCATACACACTAACACATGTTCAGCCGCTTTAGCAAAAATTTTCTTAAACAGAAATATAATTTTAAAGCAACTAAATCAGGATTTATTAGTTAAACTTTGTAAATAGTCACAAATTCTTGCCACCCATCTATGTAGAATATTGAGTTGAAAAATATTTTTTTCAGGGTCAGGGAGATAGCTCATGAGGTAAATGTATTTGTTGCACACACCTGAGGATCTGAATGCTATCCCCAGAACCCACACATAATGCTGGGTCCTATGGCACACATCTGTAGTTCCAGCACTCCAGTTGCAAGGTGGGATATGGAAACAAAAGCATCAGTCAGAAGCTAGTGGGCCAACTAGTCCAGAGTGCTCAGCCACACAGTGGCAGAAACCACAGGAGAGGCCCTGCATCAGCAAAGTAGAAGTTAAGAACTGATTTCTCAAAGTTGTACTCTGACCTCCACACACATACCTACACTCTCACTCATGTACGAGAGAGGAGAGAGAGAGAGAGAGAGAGAGAGAGAGAGAGAGAGAGAGTAGGAGGGAGGGCAGGAGGGAGGGAAGAAGGGAAGGAGAGAGGGAAGAAAAGGAAAACTGTCTTAACACAAAGTTGCTGCATGTATACACGAAAACAAGGTGTCTCTGTTGTTATAGGTCACATTTCCCTATTTTTCTTCAACTAGATTATAATTATCCTGCTGGGTTAACAAGAATATTGAAGGACTTTGAAAAAGGATCAATAAATAAGAAAGAAAAATCAACAGAGATAAACAGAAGAAATTCATGAAACTCTTCACTTGATCCAAATGTTAGAAAATTTAAAAAGCAGCTTTTTCGTCCAGTTATACAAGCCTCATCCACTGACTTTTCTGGCCCCATTGCACATATGAGTCTGCTAAGCCCCAGACTGCATTTGCAAACTGAGAATTTAAAGTCCGGGCTCCAACCCTGTAACACCAGCATCTGGAGATTCAGCCCTATCTCAGCAGCACTTTCTAATCCACAATCTATGTCTCTTTTCCAAACAACAAAAAAATGAATGCATAGCTTTACACCTTAGTTTCTCTGTTACAGATTCTCTATCCTTGAAGCATGAGCTTCTTGAGGCCAGATCAGCACCGGAATAAGACCCAAGTATATAGAGACTAGAGGAACTGTATCTGTGTGATGCTGTCTAGGAGACCATAATCAGACTTTTGGCTTGTCTGAAGTTCACATCCTTCATCAGTACAATGGGGATAAGGACAATCATATCAGGGTCATAACAGCTATCATATGATTTTTTTTTATATTTTATTTATTATTTTTATTTCAGGTGTATTGCCTGCATGTAAGTAAGTGCACCTGTGTCATGCAATGCCTGAGGAGGCCAGAAGAGGCTGTCGGATCCCCTGGAAGTTATGGACAGTTGTTAGCTGCCATGTGGGTGCTGAGATTCAAACCCTGGTCTTCTGCAAGAACAGTCAGTGTTCTTAACCACTGAGCCGTCTCTCCAGCCTATCATACGATTTTTTTAAATATAACCCTTGACAAAATATGGCACAGAAAATGACAGTAAGATTTTTAAAATTTAATTTTGTATAGTATTTAAGAACTCCAACAAGTTTACCCTTGTAGCAAAGTATTTCCGTGAAACGTAGGGCTGCTGATAAGGATTGGGGAAAAGTGTTGACTTAGTCGTGCTTGACTGCCTTGAAATCTGCCTTGGCACTGGGTCCTTGTCGGAGTCCCCCTCCTCCAATGACAGGCACTCAGTCTCAGAGGGTTGGTCATCTCCCTCTTGCTTCAGAGACACAGGCTGAAATCCTTCAAAGCTTCCAATTGTTGACATTTCTTTAGCCTGAAACAAGTGAAGAAACAATCTTTTTATTAGAAGAAAAAGCAAGTCACCTGAATCCTGGGTATGGCTGAACAGGTTATGAGGAGCCCAAGCCCGTACCCAACTAGAAACATGTACATGTTAAACAGAGGCACCAGAGGAAAGCTCAGGAGCACAGACTTCTAAATGCCATCAATGGTCCTTCAGGGCCATTTACCAAAGGAGAAAAGCAGAGACTCAAGACAGGGAAAAGTAGCCTGTAACTCATTCCATTTCCTCACCTTTAATACCAGGAGAACACTGAACAAGGGGAAGCAACATGAAATCATTGTGAGGTAATTTCTCTTTGTGATTTCCTTGCATTTTTGTTTGAAATTCTGCCTGGGCTTTACTGTACTTAGGAGTGAAAAGCAATGATAATGCACCTTCTTGACAGCTCCATGGACGTGGAGGAGGGCACACACCAGTTAGAACTGAGCATATTTTCAAAAAATATTCTCCAATTCTAAAGCTTTGTTATAAAAAAATCAGTTTAGAAAAACACCCAAAGACACACATACATATATAATCAATTCATATTATATGTGAATGCGCTTGCTTATCATAGCATTATGTCTAAGAGAGAAACACTGTATGTAATGGCAACATTAAGCACTCATACAGTTGCATTTAATACTAAAGAAATAAAACTAAGTATTCATTAGTAGAGAACTGGCCAAATGTTACACTTGAACTGGACTTGGTGGAACATCCCTTAAATATCAGCTCTGGGGAAGCAGAGGCAGGAGGATCTCTGTGAGAACAAGACCAGCCTGATATACATAATAAGCTCCAGGCCAGCTGGGGCTACAGGGAACCTCTGTCCTGAAAAAAAGAAAGTTAGACCATATAGTCAAATACAGGGTAGCATAGCCATTAATGATGAATATATATATTTTTTAATCAAAGAAAGATGTAGAAAATATACTGTTATGGAAGAAAGCTATCAAACATGAATAATGTTATTTGGCTGTGTTAAAGTCATTCAAAGAGAAAGGAAATATTATATGTACTTGCATATGCATATACATGTATGATATGGCAAATATTAGAAAACATGAAAAGAATTAAAATAAATTTGTTAAAAATAGTTGTCATTTGAAGATGGTGTTATAGATGCTTTTTATTCTCAATTTTCCTGCCTCTAGATGCTACTAATAATCATATTGGAGTTAAAATAAGAGCAATAAGTTCATTTCTATTTTTAAAAAAAGACAAAAAAAAAAAAAATAGAAGGACGGTACAGGCCCGGTAAAAGGTGCACCTGATCTAGGCTCTGCTGTCTAGCAGGCAGGTGGCCAGTCATCCCTGCAGTGATAGAATGTGTGAATTGCAGGAGAGCCATAAGCTTCATTAAAGGAAGCCATAAAGACATAAATTCCTTAAAGTTCCCAACTGGTCCTAAATTGATAGGCCTGGCTACACTCAAGCTTTTTCAACTGGTCACTCCCTAGACTGAGAGAGACTGCTTACAGAGCCAACCTGTCTCCTATAGCGGCATAAGATAGGTCACCTGCTCTTCCTGAGAAAATAATCCTAGAAAGAAGAGCCCCAGTTACCCCAAGGACACTAGACTCTGGCACCAAGCAAATCCCTGAAGCTGCATTCAACTGAGTTCCTATATAAGTCCAAACTGCTCTGCCCTTCGTTGTACTCTCATTGGGTGGAAGGGTTTATCAGCCCTTTGCTGTGTTCTTTGAGTAAAGGAGCACATTCCCTGCATGCTTATTTCTTATTTCTTAACTTTCAACTCCTTCCTTTTCTGCTCTCCCAAATCTAACAAACAGGAGGCATGCTTCCTTTCCAGTGCAGCACAGGAGGCTTCACTTCCAAGGTCTCCACCAGGGAAGAACGAAGGATGCCATATTCTTAGTGAAATCAAAGGCCTTTCTTTCATTCAGTTCTCCTGAAAGGCCAGAAAGTCAAAGAAAATTATTTTGCTAGCGTATTTCCACCCTTAAAATTGAGACAAACTAGAACATTTAAGACAGGTAAAACCAGCATGACCATATGATGTTTGTATAGCCCTTTCCTCCAGATTGAAATATTCTCTCAGGGAGGGAGAGAAGCTTAGGCAGTTTACCAAGCTCAGAACCTCATGCAACTTACTAGGCTCAGGATGCTCAGAAAGGTACAAGATTCAGAAGGCCCTTAGCCAAGAGGCATTTTTTGTTGTTGTT